AGGCTAAGTGCATTGTTCGATGGGGTGATATCATTGCCAAACATGATAGTACTTTGTTTGCCATCAATAAACACTAACTTGACGGAGTTACAGTATTCCACATTGATACGAGCCTCAAAAGCTTTATATAATATTTGCGAGTAGGGCTTTTAGTTTTTACCGCTAAGGTAGGTGGCAGGCCTATAGAAAATGTTTCTTAATCAATATATTTTCAAATACTTTTCGTTCGACACCTATATTATAATACATACATACTTTATCTTATTAACTTAATTCAACNAAAAAAAAAAATATTATCTCTGGTGATCAGGTAGCATGAATTTTATGAAATGTCATAATTTTATTAAAAGTCAAATGGTTAGCAACAACAACGAATGTCATTAAATGGAACTACCTTCTTTTTTGTATCATGGTTTGTTCCACAAGCTACTTGTAGAAAAACTCGAGCAAAGTTCAAACTGTCAGCGTATGTGTAACTCGAAGTGACTTCGAGTAGCTTGTGGAACAAACCTACTATTTTATTATTCACAGTTTGAAACTGCCTGTGAAAGTTAGCAGCAATATAATGAAGTAAAATGCTCTAACGTTATTTTAATACAAGAATTTCTTTGAAATTTTCTTAATAATAGTCCAAGTGCACCATGCACTATTTGTAAACAATTGTAATACCTACACTGTTATTATAAAATTTCGTTTTTCGCGAGGAAGTTCGTGGTCCAAAAAGATATTTAAGAAAACTAAAGATTTGTTNGCAATTCATTTTTATATATAAGATATCTTCTTTTAAAAATGCGCAGGCTCAAAATCAACTTTAGAGCTATGGTCTGGAGGAATTTTTTTCTTAGAATTTTATGAAGAATCCGAATATGCTAGGAACAATGTCGAAAAAAATCGATCCATACAAATTGACCCGCCCTAATATATATGGTTGGCATTCGCATTGCAACCAATTACAAATTTTCGATTTGTACACAGGCAGAATTTGAAGAGCTGCTGTACCTAGAACGGCGGTATGATAGGACGTCATCTGAGAAGTAGGCAGATGCCAGGACACTTTGCTACCTACAGCCACTGCGAGAGAAGTAAGAGNAGATTAAAGGATTGTCTATCCAATGGTACGATTATCGAATAATAGTATATGTGGTACTTGCACTGTTTCTTTATTCCCGCAACGATATCTCCGCATTAATTTTAGTAACAGAGTCATTCCATTGAAAAGGGGAAAACGACATAAATTTAAATATGCCCTAATTATCTCTATTTCTGTAGTAACCTCTTTTTAAATGACTACATTTCATTAACCTGTGGGAAAATATTAGAAACATGAAAAGAAGTAGTAATTTTTGTCTTTGGAAACTTCTATTTCATGCATAATTACTTTACACCAGACACAAGGAGCTGCCCCACTAGTCACAACTTTAAATATTTTTATGAAGATTATATAAACCTCATTTTTATTGAACACGAAAGCGTAAAATACATATTTTACAATACAAATACATTGTTCGTGAAAATTGTGTGTTTTGGCTAAAATTCATATTTGAGTGCACAAGGGCAAAATAGAGTTCTATTCAGTGTCCCACCAGTCACATTCATTCAAATGATAGTTATATAAAACTAAGAAATCGTTTGGCATTTCTGTTAAAGCAGTTTTATACATTAGTTATCGCNACAAGATCAACGGAAATAAGGTCAATTGACTTTATTTCCCACCCTGGTGGAAGTAAAGTCATTGACGCTATTTCCCTCATTCAAATGGAAATAGCGTCAACAATGCTTAAAGTATGTCGATTCATAGAAAAAAATGTTTTTCTTACAATAAA